ACTTCATAAATGAAAGGGCTCACATAGGCAAAAGCTTAGCTATATACAGGGACACTGAAAAGTGTATCTGCCTTTAAAAACAACAAGAGTTTGTTAGATAGGGACTGCTTTAATCCATGTTCTTCAGCATCAGCATCATCTTCTGTGCAACCAGAAGAGCTTATCTGCTATGAAACCATGGGTGAAAAATGATTGTAAAAATATAAACACAAAAGAAAATGCCTTTTTTTATTATTTTGTGAACACAGAATATCATGTCTTTAGCTTCCCATATAGTGTTCTCAAAAGGTCTTACACTTTTTATATTAGCGTCACTGTTTCCCCATTACATACTTTTTCAATATGATAAAATTTAATTTTAAATTTTGTATTTCAAGTTAATAAATTAAAGGCAGTTTATAAAGAATACAAATATAATGTATTAATTTAATTCATTTATAGATTTTTATTTTCAACATAATGTAAATCACATGTAATGGACTGACATTTCAGTGCTAAGTTTATAATTCTGACACCCTTTCATAGGAAAATTTAACTCAGAACTTTCCCATAGAACGATAACCAAACTGAGAGAAATTTTGCAGCAATAAACCAGTAAGGCAGCTTTATATGAACTAACTCAGCTACTAGAAGCATTCTACATTGTAGTCCTACACTGTATAGAAACGTGAAGAAATACTCAATTTTTTATTCACATTTCTTACAACAAATATTATTTTTTCTTTTGATAACACATACTTTATATAGACAAAGAAAAATATTTGCTAATAAGCACTGAGTAAATATCTTTAAAAATTTAGAATATTTCTACAAAAGCATTATTAGTAGATTGATATTTCCTAACAAATGCTGCTGTTTCAGGAAAAAAAGGTAATTCCCATTAAAAAATATTTCTACCTTTCTCTTTCTTCACCAGTCTCATCCAAGACCCATGCATAGGCAAATGAAGCTTTGCCAGCCTTCTTAGATTCCTGTTCATATTTGTGCATAGTTCGTTTGTTCACATTTCCCAAAAGGTAGAGCAGATGACCCATTAAAGTACTTTTACCTGCATCAACATGTCCTGTGGGGCAAAATAAATATCATATCAATTTTATTAATTTATGCATTTTAAATATAGCAGAAGAAGAAATACACCAAAACATAAGAAAATCACATGCACCAACAATGCTTATGCAATCCATAGATTTTCACATTCCTGTAAGATAGAGATACAGCAAGACGGTTTATTGATAGTCAGTTAGCATGACAGCCATAGAGTACTTCCAAATTCACACCAAGAAGACGACACTGCAGGAATGAAACCAAACCAAAGTACATTTTACTACACTGTCAGAAGGCAGCTAAGTCAACTTTATGGTCCTACTCAAGGATATCTGAATGTACTCCCTCCAAAGAATAGCAAACAGATGCGACTAAAAACAGTATGAGATTTCCCTTTCCTAAAGAAAGGACAGTTTTGCTTCTGTATCACTTCCAGATTCAAACAACACAGCTTTTAGTCTCTACGTTTGTCAAAAATGTAATTTAACAGTATTACCTATTACGACCAAATTAAGTAGTTGCTTTCCTCCTTGTCTCTTCTCCAACTCTGCTTTCACATCTATTTGTGGTTTTGTCTTGCTTGACTTTTTTATCGGAGTAGGCACTGAAGTCTGGTCTTCTGAAACCTGCACTACTTGGGGTGAAAGACTAGATTTTGAGACCACCTCAAGTACCCCAGAAGCTACACTGGCATCTTCACTTAACAGTCCTTTCTGAAGCGTGTTGGCATGGCCATTTTGTTCAGCAATCACACTAGGGGGAAAAAAAAAAAGAAAACACAAGGAATGCAAATGACAAAGAAGCTGTAGAAATATAGGAGAAAAATTGAGTTTTCCCTTCACTATCATGTAAGCCCCAGACAAAGAGTATGTGATAAGCCCATTAAGGTGGAAGCGATAAGCAGCTGAATACAAACTGCACAGATACCAGCTCTGAACATCTTGTCTGAAAAGCACTGTGCACAAAAGCAAGATAAGAAATGATCTTGTAAAATACATGAAACAGATAAACAAAAGCTTCCCACAGCCAATTCTTTTAACAGGGAGGGAAAGAACAGTTGTGCAGAACAACTACAGAGAGATAGTTGTCTCTGAAGTAAAACCCCAAGTCAACTTTGAAGCATCGATCCTAAAACAGCTTCCACATACACAGGTACTGCAGCGAAACATAGCGATGTTCTATTGTGAGAACAGCCATATAGTATAAAGAGTAGATACTAAGCATATCTGAGCTGCAATTTAAAGTGCAATGCTTATATAGAGCCGTAACAGACGAGTTACATTTATCAATACTGAGAAAATTTGTTTTATGCATAAAAGAAGGCATCTAGGACTAAGGAGATTTGGATTCCCCAACTCCCTTTCTCTAACACCCTATCCTCCCACAGATCATCATACTAATCCTTATAGTAAATAACCCTAAATATATTATTCTCTTATACTCTCTCACTCTTCTTCTCTGTGATTTGTAAATGAGGATATTTTCCTAATTTACACAAGCGTTCTGAAAATATACAATACAATTCTTGTAATTCTTCACCTGTTACAGCAAAGGCGACCACTAAAAACAAACACTAAGTAACATCTTCAAGAGACCAAAAGCTTTCTTACTGCCTGACAGAGCTCCAAGATGAGACATTAATATAAGCAGCAAGACAGGAACAGAAGAAGTTATTATAGGTGTGACAACATTATATCACAGCAAACTTCAATATACAAACCACTGACCATTACAGTATATTGAAAATAGCTACAAAATACTGTATTTAGAACTTTATCTAGGGAGAAGAGGCTGCTTCTTCCTGGAAAAATGGAAATCCTTTCCAATACAGTACCACTGTGCTGGTGGCTACTTTCTATGGAAAGGATTCATGCAGGCTCTCATACTCAAGTGCCTCCATATCCAGTGTGTGTTTTTCACTCTCCATTTTCTGTTTACGTACCACAATTAACTTCTCAGTTTTCCTCTTTTCAACTTCCATAAACAAACCTACTTATTTTGGTGCTTCAGAGTCCCACATCGTGAAACCTCTGCTTTTATTTGACTTCTCATTTTCTGTCTGCGTAGGACCTGGAGGTGCTGGTTGACAGCCGGCTGAATATGAGCCAGCAGTGTGCCCAGGTGGCCAACAGCATCCTGACCTGTATCAGAAATAGTGTGGCCAGCAGGAACAGGGAAGTGATCGTGCCCCTGTACTCGGCACTGGTGAGGCCGCACCTTGAATCCTGTGTTCAGTGTTGGGCCCCTCACTACAAGAAGGACATTGAGGTGCTGGAGCGTGTCCAGAGAAGGGCAACGAAGCTGGAGAGGGGTCTGGAGCACAAGTCTTATGAGGAGCGGCTGAGGGAACTGGGGGTGTTTAGTCTGGAGAAGAGGAGGCTGAGAGGAGACCTCATCGCTCTCTACAACTACCTGAAAGGGGGTTGTGGCGACGAGGGTGTTGGCCTCTTTTCCCCAGTAACTAGTGATAGGACAAGAGGAAATGGCCTCAAGCTGTGCCAGGGGAGGTTTAGATTGGATATTAGGAAAAATTTCTTCACTGAGAGAGTGGTCAGGCATTGGAACAGGCTGTCCAGGGAGGTGGTGGAGTCACCATCACTGGAAGTGTTCAGAAAATGTGTGGGCATCGTGGCGCTGGATTAACGGTTGGACTTGATGATCTTGAAGGTCTTTCCCAACCTTAATGATTCTGTGATTCTGTATTAGTCCTTTTTCATTACATATATCTCAGGAAACAATATAGTCCAAACATGTTAATCTACTGAACAAATCAGTTCAAGAGTTATGATCTAAATAAATCTAGGAAAAGTTCAGACTGAACGCAGAATTAGCATCTCATCATAGCAGAAATGTGAGCACTCTTTTTTTTTTTTTTTTTTTTTTTTGGCTACACTTCCACAACCCAAGGCTAGGGTCTTGCATCAAGGCTGGACACACCAGCACGTTTCTCAAATTAGCTAAGCAAAGAACTTAGTTTATGCCAGTTGCAGGGACACAGATTGTACCTGCACTTCTGCATAATGGGTAGACAATTCTGTATAAAGTCTATTTAAAAGAATTTATCCTATCATAACATCCTAAACCACTTGAAGGAGAAGGACAGGTTTACATCATACTACTGCCTCAGGTCACACAATTATGGCATTTTGTATTTGGCCTTTTGAAACCAGCTGTACTGTACCACCAAGTACAGCTTTAGACAAGCTCCAGTATATAACCTCATCTTGACAAGCTTGAATACCCTTTCTACAAAGATACACAAATGCCAAAAGAGCTTACCAGAGCTTTTTGTTAGGAGATCAGCAGACATACAAAAGCCTGGCAAGGATGAACATTTAGTCAGAATTAAAACTGCCAGGCCAGAAACTTCCTATGTTGTCTTGCCAACAAGGACCGTAAGAGTAAACTGAGTAAAATGTTATGGTTACATCACTGTTTTCTGGGGAAAATTAAGAAATACAACCTATGTTATTATAAGACATGTTAGAAGACACTCAATCTTACACAACTGTTGAAATGTTCACAGTAGCATGCATTCAATGAAGAACCTGAAAGCTTATCTGCTGAAGCTTATCTGCAGCTTAATAACTCTGTATAATTTAACTTTTAAACATTATTTTCAATCTTTTAGTCTGGACAATTAGTGGATTATTTTTATACAACCGACTCTTTCGGAGTACTTACAGTCATTACAGGAATGTCTACATTTATTTCCTCTTTCAGAATTATTAATTACACAATATTGGTCAGGCTGGTTAAAACAATCACCTTTTTTTGCTCACAACTTCTTCTGGCTTCCTTCATGACTTAACACAAAGAAAAAGCCTGGTAAATAGTTTTGCTAGAGCAAAAACAGTTTGTCAGAAGTGAGCAAACTCCATTTTCTGTAGACAATCCCACTAAGAATACCCAGCAACAAAGGCTATCAATGCTCAAAGCAATTAATGACTTCTATTAATCCATTCATTTTAAATAGGATTAATTTATTATTATGAGGTCATACCTCATAATATGATTGAGTCATAAAGACTGAATAGCTAGTCAATGGTTATTTTTGCTAATGCTAGGCCACTGGTTTTAAAAACATGGTCCTTTAAGATCCCCTAAAAGGTGACAACAAAAACTAGTTCATACATACTATACAACCATCTTCTAACGGTGTCTGCACCAACACTATACAAGTATTTGGGTTTGAGGGTAAGGGCAGAGTTACAGGTGTTTTAGAATCCAAACTACTGTGAACAATCTTTAACACCATGCTTTTGGTTAATGATATAAACTATGTACTTAGAACTCTGTATTATTATAAACCCTCTGTAGTACATTTATCACTGCAATGATAACATAAAAAGGCTCTGAAGAGAGCCAAAAGAATCATAGAATCTTTGGGTTGGAAACGACCTTTAAAAGGCCATCTAGTCCAACCCCCCTGCAGTGAGCAGGGACAGCTTCAACTAGATCAGGTTGCTCAGAGCCCCATCCAGCCTGACCTGGAATGTTTCCAGGGATGGGGCATCTACCACCTCTCTGGGCAACCTGGGCCAGGGTTTCACCACCCTTACTGTGAAAAATTCCTTCCTTCTACCTAGTCAAAATCTGCCCTCTTTTAGTTTAAAACCATTACCCCTTGTTCTATCGCAACAGGCCCTGATAAAAAGTCTGTCCCCACCTTTCTTAAAGGGGGCTTGTAAGTATTGAAAGGCCACAATAACATCTCCCCAGAGCCTTCTCTTCTCCAGACTGAACAACCCCAACTCACTCAGCCTGTTCTCATAGACAAAGAATGAGCCTCTCTTAGGTGTTATTAAACACAGATTCATTATGTCCCATGACAACTCATCCTTATGCTGTCAATAATCCACAAGATAACTGCAGAAGAAAAAACCCAACTCTGATACTCATGGAGTTGAGGCAGGGGTTCACCTTTTCCTTTGTTTTTCAAGTTTAGAAATGGATGCATACAAAGTCATTACAAGCTTGCAAGACAATGCTAGCGCTTCACCTAAGCACAATATATTTAGCACAGACTTTAGGCAGAGACTGTGGAAAGTCAAGCTCCAACCGTTAGGAAAAAAATCAGGAAAGCAAATGCCACTGTCTTACAGCAGAGAAGGAAAAATATGATGCAAATACGGTCAAGGCATCCACCCCCATTATTCATGTCAAGGTCCTAGTGCCTTGGCAGTGCTTCTACAGTGGCCTGTAGGACAAAAGAAGAAAGGAAGCCATGACGGACTCCTTGAAGCAGGGGTCTTTAGACATGCAGGTAACTATACAATTCAAATTGTGCTTTCTTCCAAATTTCTCCAAATCTCATGCTCTTTTACATATCACTCCACTTACCCATTCCTCCCACTTAAAGCTAAATGCCTAATCTGCTGTAGAAATTGGATGCAAAAGAGGCTTGTTCTTAATTAGTATTTCAATAAATAAGTGAGGTGAATTAAAAAAATATGTTCCCAATATTGAGGATTTATCCAAATGGATTACCAGCAGGTCCTGAAGGCTTAATTTTTTTCCATCACAAAAAAAAATAGTATGTCACTAAACTGGAAGCAAGCATGATACAAACTGTTTTAGGGTCCCTGAAAAGAAGCAGAGTAGCTGAGAACCATGTTACAGCCAACCATCTTTCCTCAGAGACTGAGTCATCACTAGCCTATCCAGGAATTACTCCAGTCTACAGATGAGGAAGCATTCTTCACATCTCCTCCTTCCCTATGGAGCAGGCACACATACACAAGATGTGGTAATTGCTAAATTGGTAAATAAGTATCAGAGATAGAAAAATTCTCTATATGCTCTGTTTTATAAACAAACATTCCAAGTAGTCATTATTACAGCTAAAAAATTCAATCACTACTATCCAAGATTAGCTGGCAGATCTTTTTCACTCACTTAAGATTCCTTTGTTTTTGTCAATGTCTATCCAAATTAATTTAATCCACCAAAGTTCCTATGAAAAACTCCAACTTATAAGAAGTGTAGTAGAAACACCAGAGATGAAGGTGCCATGTTGATAGGAATTTCATGATCAAGTCCAGTTGTCACACCCACAGACACGGATCAGCAAAGGCAAAGGGGGGGAAATAAATTATGTTCCCTTTTATATATTGCAAAACTTAAACTGCACAGAAAGAGTATTTTGAAAGGCCCAGATGTTTTTCATTTGGAGCGTACTGCATCTAAGTAGCTGAATGAAAGTGATGTCTCTCAGCAATGGCATTTAGCAGTATAAATGGAATAAGGACATCAGCTTTAAATGTGCTTAAGAGACTAAGTAGATGCAACTGCTTACTTTCCACTCATTTATCAAACATGCACAAAACACTGTAAAATAAAGACCATGCTGCCCTCTTACTCGCAAAAATGCTTTCCAGGTCAGAACTACAACTGGGATGAGGTGGGGGTGTTGGCACTGCTTACCCTTGTAAATTTTTTTCCTGAGGATGAACTATGGAACTTCTTGCCACAGACTAGGTGGTTATTATAAGATTAGGTTCAAAACCAGAATAAGCACATCCAAGTAAGAAAAATCCAAACAGCATAATCCTCTCCCCCGCAAAAAATGGTGGAGAGACACAGAACGCTACATGTAATGACATTTCTCATTCACTAGTGGCTACTGCTGTAGGTAGACTCTGATCCAGATGTCTGTTTTCATGCTCTCCCAAGACATCCCCCCAACAGTTCCAAGTCAGAATAAAATTAGAACTACTGCTCAACCACTCTAATTTAGCTAAAGTATAAGGAGGACCCATTTCTTCTCTACAACAGTTGTACCCTGAACACCTGTTAAAGTTAATAAAAGCTGCAGAGGAAGGCAAAGTTTAGCCATGAGTGATTGTTTTCCTCATAAATTATTCTTAAAGGTATTACTTCCTTTGAAGAACAAGCAATTACAGTTAAGATTTATTGATTTCATAATTCCACTTAGAGAACTAAATTTAAAATAAACGAACCCCAAGAAAGTTCAGTATTCTATGAAACGGATGTTTAAATAATCTGACTACCTGATATCTCTCTGCACTATTCATAGCGAAAGGATTTGTTAAACTCAAAACGTGAGGTACCATCTTCTGAAAGTAATTCTGAGTCAAACAAGAAGCTGAGATGGTTAGTTCTGGAGAGTGACACTAAAACTGCTGTAAAAAATAGAAAAAAAAAAAGAAAACTTGCTACAGGTGCATCAGTCTGAAAGAAGCGCTGCTGATGTACCTTGATGTACAAGGGCTTGGCTTACCATGGAACTTCAAATCCCATAGATTGTTTCTTTCCAGACACTGTCATTTTGGTAACTTTTGGCACAATTTCAGATTCCATTCTGGCTGACTGGGAATCTCTTGTTTTTCCTAGTGATAGACAAAAAGTAAGTTTGAACTTAAGGTTACAACTAACAGGTGTTAAAGTTTAACAAGTTACATTACTTCAACCCAAAGATACTGGTCTGTGATAATGAATTCTCACACTTCAGTGTCTTACTTGCATATATTACACACTTATTCAAAATAATCCATGAACAGTTATATTTATTGTGAAAATCTGTCTCTGCAAGCATTCACATGACATCTACACCATTCAAGAGTTTTATTCACAGCAGTTCTGCAGGATGCCAGAAATATTTCATGCAATACTAGGATGAAGAAATGCTTTGCAACTGTTTACTAGTTGATCAGATTAATTCTTAAAGAGTTTTTCTTTTGCCTTAACATTGTGGTGCCTCAAGGCTACTGTAAGGTAAAAGTACGTCTACCTCAGGTACTGCTAGCAGCTGCACAAGCTACATATGTGTGGGCTACCAGGCCTTCCGTGAAACCTGGAAACAAAGTTGTCTGTTTTACAGAATTACACCGAAGAAGCCAAGCAATACCCAAAAGCCAGCTAATTGAAAGGTTATTTAGAAATAATTACCAAAGTTGAGTAACTTAATTACTTTAAAGGTATGAATTTTTACCATAAATTACAGCAAGGTTCATTCTTAATTTTGTGAAACTACAGCTTCTTGTCAAGCTATCAAAAAAAAATAAATAATTTACTCTGTGGAAGGGAAGTTTAAATAAAAGTAGTAAGTCAGCTCTTCTCTTTCCACAATTCAGTCTTTAATATGTCTGGATCCCTTCTCCCTTCAAGGAAAAAGACATCCAGCTTTACAGTGCGAGTAACAGCAGTTGTACCTTGTGTTCTGAAGGATGTTACACACGCAGGAAAGTAAAACAATAACACGAATTCAGAACTAAGCTGCAAGTTTTAAACAATCTTCACCTAAAGATGTATCTGAAAAACTAGAAAAATGCTGCTACTTTTCCATTGATAGACCAATTCAGATAGTCAGTCAAGTGAAAACTTATTTTGAATAACAAGTTAATCTTTTAAGTATTTTAGATGACTACTGTAAGATCAACTGTTGGAGTCATTTGGTCCTGCTCGTTTAGGTTAACTCTTTAATGCATTCTAAAGTATGATGGCTACACTTTTAAAAAAACAGAATCATATTGCTTTGCAGGTTATATAAAAAGTGTATAAAGGCTGCGATGAAGACTTCAGATAAGGAAACAGAATACCATAGACAAGGCTATAATAGACAGCATACCAACAAAGCTGCTATGCAACCTTTTCTAAACAATCGCACTATAGATTCAGACATTCTTATTTAATTGATGACTTGGTCTTCATTTCCCTTATCTGCTGATACTAATTTTATTTATATGCAACCCTAAGATCTTTGGAAGAAGTAGTCTGGATGTATATCATTAATAGTTGCATACCAATTACACTGTAAATAAGAAAAATAGTAAGAGGAATAAAGGCAACAGCACAAATCATGGTTTACAATAACCACAAATTATGTGACTGACAAGCAAATAGTAAAGATTCAGAATATAAAATTCTCAGATCACTGGACAAGGACTACTAGTTAAGCACAAAGATTTTGTTTCATCTTCAAACTCCTACATAGATCGCATACGGCATTTTTTAATAAATAGTTAATCACTTGAGTTATAGTAAAAATTACATTACTTTTATTGCCAACTTGCTATGTTTTTTCACCACTTCAATTCTAACAATTTTCAAGCAGCCATCACTTTCAACTGCCAGTTCAATATGAATGCTATACATGTCATTTGAAAGCTCAATTACAGTTAACTCAGAAAATACCACGTTTGAAATCTCGCTGCTAGGAACTAAATCACAAAAAACACAATTAAATTGAAATTAGATTAGTTGAAAGAAACCAAGGTAACAATTCAGTCATATAACCTGAAAATAACTTGCAAACTATTAGCAATATTTGCTACATATAACCCAAAAGTCAAAGGTTTTACAAAATACATCTTCTCTAATCAATTTAGAAATTAAGCTTCACTCTGTACAAATACTGTTGGGGTGTTTGACACTGATCCAGAGTTAAATGTACGAGGAGAATACATTCATCGAATCAAGTATTTGACACAGAAAACACAGAAATTTAGAAGTAGAGATCAGGAAACACTAAATGTTGAAATAAGATACAAAAATAAAATTACAAAGAACAAGAGAAAGTAATTGTCCATCGCCAGCACAGACAGTTTGGGTGGTTTATTTATTTATTCTTATAAAGCACTAATACTTCAGCATAGGTGACGCAAGGAAGCATACCGGGATCATATAAAGACAAACCAAACCACAGAAGGTAATTCTGGAATGGTGGCATTCAAATAGATGCAAAGACAATGCAAGAATTATTAGTAACACTACTGACAGAAGTGCCAAATATAATTTCCTGACTTCAATGTCTTTATAACCAAGTACAATAACATCAAGCAGTGCATTTGAAATAAGGTCCAAGTCTGTCTTTTGTGCACTGCAGGCACCATTAAAGATTAATAATTATATGCTTCATTACAAAGGACACAAGGCCAGGAAAGGACTATGCTTTACTATCTAATCTATAGGGCACCTGAGAAAACTGCAGGATAAATTCTTATCTGCTTTGGCAGGCAAAGCAAAAGCTATTCAGCACTTAACAGATCATATGCAAATCCTTAAACTGCACCTTGGAACTAAAAGGAAGTCAATGCACAATACTGATACAATCCTTAAAACACTTCTTAATCAACAAGCAGAGTATCCTATGGCAACTGAAGTGCACTACAAAACTTGGAAAAACTGTAGCAGTAATCCCAATCTGATTAGGGCAAGAGCAAATGTGAGGAAAATTAACCTCTGAAGGGAAAGGATATAAGGGATATATAAGTTTTTGCCAAGAAAGGCTTCATAAAGTTCTTCATGCCTACTGCCATTTGGACATTCTTAAACACATACCTAAGTAATTCAATAACAATATGTTTCCTAAATCATGAGTACACATAAAATAAAGACAAAGACAGACACATCTTTCATAAGCTCCTAAAGAAGCCCCAGTACCCCCTTGCTACGTTTCACTTACTCTAGCATTGCAAAAAGCAAAAATAAGAGTGGATCACATGCAAGTAAATGCACTGATTGGCCAATGGTGTCAAACTGCAGAGCAAGAGATTTTCTGAAGAGGCCTCCCTATAAAAAATTCTGGCATTTCACTAAATTAACACTAGGAAAATTTAAAAAAAATTTCCCTCCATGAAAACACAAAGTACACATTCATAATTTGCAAAACTGCAAAGGCTTGTGACAAGCATGATAGTTCTAACAATTCAGAATGCTTAAAAAACAAAACTTCTAGCCTATTTTAAGCAAAGTAGTTTTCAGGGAGATATTTGGTACTTAAGACTGACATCAGAGTACTTAAAGCATACTGTAGCTATGAGTCAAACACTATTACAAAACAAAACATACACTGATACACCTTGTCTCAGTATTCAACTGGGATCAACTGAACACTGAGGGGGACAGACCTGCACTGATGTTACTCCAGTACAACTATGGCAGTGTGTGACAACTTGACAATGAAAGCTCTCTTCCCTTTTTTCTTCTCTTTGCTTATACCTTTCCTATGACTGCCAGTTGATCTTCTGACTTGAAAGCCTTTTGATTTAGTCAAGAAGTATTACTAACAAGACCTGCTGTAACTTCAAAATTACTACAAGTACAACCCTAAAATCTGATGGCACAATAAAGTATTTGCAGACTGATAAACAGGATGTAGACACATATTTACTTGCAGAAAGCAAGTAAAACACAGGGACAGTCTTTAAAAATTAAAACAGTCTCTCTGGGTGTTCAAGCTGGAATAGCAACAGTGTATGGATATAGTCATCTTCCTTTACTGTAAGCAACTCCCTAGGTTTTGGATCTCCTTTGTAAAAATGGTTGTAAGGAGTAACCTGTAAAAGATTTAAACAAACAAATCAAAAAATTATTTTGGCTTCTGTATCATACGTAACAGGCTTGAGAAGTTCTTTTTTCAGTTTTCTTTCATTTATATACTTACATTGAAAGTAACAGGAAGATAAAAATCAGTCTTTTCTCTAATTCTGTTGAAGGTACAGAAGTTATGCTTCAGTACTTGGAAGAGCTGATTGTCAGTCTACTCTGTTCCCAGGCTCATAAAAACAACAAAACTCTGTTAAACAACCACTATGTCAAGAAAGACATGTCAATACCAAGTGAAGTGATATTGGCATATTTGGAAAAATGCATACTAGCACTGGGTATTTAAATCCACACTGGCTTCATTCAGATGGCCATACCTTTTCAACAATAGAAACAAAATGCCATTGTTTTTGATTCCTATACATGGAGGCTTCTCCCAATTTGTCTTCCCCGCATCAAATTGTATAACAGCCTCAACTACATCACCACGCAGAGAAGCCTGCTTCTGATAAGATGAACAAGAATTTTTAATACACCTGACTTCAGCTTGAAAAAACAAGACAGGAAGAATGTCAACGTGTTAGGCATGTCTTGAGTCTGTGCTTTTGCAGACGGCAATCCCATTTAAATAAATCCATGTCTCCACACAAAACGACTACTACCAGTGTTTCAGCACTGGCAAAGGAATGCACCTCCAAGGGAATTATGTGCTAATTAACTGTGGCCAGATTGCAGTTTCTTTTTCTTTAAAGCTTTAGTCATTCACATGCTTTTGAAATTTTTACTTGGTTTATATTGATTCTTCTATTTTCAAGAGTAGTATGAGCACTTAAAAGAAGGTGGCTGCACACTATTTCAATTTTGAATGGGGCTGGGGAGCCTAGATGCTATTGACAAGAGGCAGAATTAATTTACTCCTAGTGCTGCCTAAATCAGCACTACCATGGAAAAATATACATGTAACACCATGCCTTCTGATCCACAAGTTTGCATCCCTTACTCTGCTACAGACTTTCTATTTCTCTACTGATTATACAGCAACAGACACCAACTGCATAAAAGACAAGACAGTGCACTGTTTTTGTGCTGGTTTTGTGCACCATGTCACGCACTTGATCCAGATATGTTTCCTGACTCACTGATAAAAAAAAAATACCTTTTGCATACACTACTGGCAGCGCAACATTGGGTTTATTAGTAACAACAGAAGCACAGACAAGACACGGTTGTGTCCCAAAAGCAGATTTAATAACTGAGGCCTCTATCAAGGTAATACCTCCCTTCCTATATGCTGTGCTATGATTTAAAACTAATTTTAAGGCCCTACAATTGTGAAAATATTCCAAATATGGACTACACATTAGACAACCAGATGCAGAGATGCCAGCCTGATTACATACAATGTCATGCTCTGAAGCATGTATCCTGTTTGCCCACATGTATGTGGGTTTATATCAACATCTAATACATCCATCCATCATTGTAATCAGCTATTTCAAAATGTTGACTGTAACATATCCCAGCTGACAAATGTGAAACTGTTTATATCCTTCTATTTATGCCATAGACCTCACAAGCTTCTAGCCTTTAATTAAAACCTTTAATTTGCCTTAAAAATGGTATAATTGTATTTTTTTCCCTTCACATTTCATAGCACAGAGGAAAAACAATAACATAAGTAAATATAAAAAATTGTCAAATTAAAGAGATATAATACTAATTTTTTTTAATAATTCAGCTGAATTATTTGACACTCAAATTCCACAAAATGCTGTAGGACATGCAGGAACTTGCAGCACAGTTTAGTTAAGTTTGCCACAGAGCACAGTGCATCTTCAGTGGCAGTGGTAGTGAGTAGTAGTATTATCAACACATCACAGTGCTGGGAAGTCCAGGACTCTCAACCATGTCCTACCAGTACATAACACAATTACTGAACTTAGAATATCCCAGATTTCCTAAATTTACATAGTTCGCTAACCTTTAAAACATTCTGCCTGCATGTAATTTGCCATGCACTCATCCCTATAGCCCATCATTTAAATTTCTTTGGATGTAACAGATCGCTGACAAAGTCTGTTATACGTGTGAGAAATAAGTTCAACATACAGAAATCCATTCTTATGCAAATATATAAAGCAATATAGGATAATTGTGAAAGGAAAAATTAAATTATTCAGAAAACTCTCTCCTACTAGAAACATCAGCAGCCCTCCAAGGAGCACATCTGAGAGCAAAGAAACACCACCTAGCTCTAATAAAAATTCCACACATGAAGAAATTCAAAATTAGATGTTATTTTACTATTTTAATTATACCAGTTCAAAATACTCATTTTTAGGAAAATGTGTGACATTATACTATGAACTGCAATATACAAATGAATGTTACCGAACATCCACAGCACTTATGAAGTAATGTAACAGTCCAAAATAATAGAAAAGGCAACTTGCTAAGTCACACCCCAGAGCTGAGACACAGCCATTCTAAAGATACTACTGAAAACAATTCTCCAAACAAGAACACTGAACTTTTTCTTTTTAAAAGAAAGGTTATTTCCTAATAGAAACCACAGTCAGGGGTTTTCCAGGTAACTTTGTCTTGTTGTTTTGTATTACCTTCTCTGCAAAGTTTCAGATGGTGAATATGACTTTTTTTTTTTCATGAAACTGGGAATAGGCATTTTCACTGAAAAATTCTGAAAAAAAAAATCCACTTGCACTTGACTACAAGCATTTTTTTGTTTTGTTTTTAAGGCTTGATACAGTAGGAGGGAGGAGGGATACAGCAGGCTCTCGAGTGATATTCCCGAGTATCTCCAACACAGGCCAGTTCTCTGTCCACATGAACAGCGCAACTTGCTACCCCAGGACTGAAGTTCCAGAAACAGTTT